AATCAAACCTGCCTTTCTCCTGTTTGCTTCTTTTTAAATCAACTGTTTCCCTTTTTTTAAAAATGCATCCAGACTACAGAGAAATGCTCTGCAGAGGTTTTGTTTCCGAGGGGAGAACGGCAGGGCTCAGCCCAGGTCCAGGCGTCATCGTGTGAGGAGCTCCTTAAAAATGACACTAAAGCTCAAGAAGAGGCATTGTACCAAGAGTACAAGATGAACCAAAGCCTGGTAACGGCACAAAATCTACCTGGTATGTCTGATTAAAAAAAAAAAAAGACTCTGCTAATCGACACACAAAGTCAGACATTGCACAACACTGGCAGTCAAATTTCAACACTGTTACAGTTTGTGGTTTTTGAATAAACTCAGTGTTCTTCTACAAATGACAGTATGTTGACATAACAAGATCTATGTATAATCAAGCCCCACGCACACGTAAACACGCTGACCTTCTGACCAACAGACAGCTACGGCCACATTGAGCCCAACATGAAGCCTCTGTGGCACCTGGGCATTGTGGCCTCCAGCTTCGTCATGCTGAACGAATCCACTGAAAACACTCTGTACAACATGGCTCAGGTGGCCAACGTCACACAGCTGGTAGGTTGTCTTATCCGTTTCTCCATTAATCCTTGAATGATAAGTAAATTGGCCAATTTTTCTCACTTTAAAAGGGTGTAATTCATGATTAATGTACAGCACAGTCTACAGTGTACGGTTCACATTCGGGTGTAGACTGTGTATCTAAAGAAGAGTTTCGGCGTTTCGAGTATTTAATACAGTCGTAAGTTTTCAGTCATACAGGTTTTGGATAAAAGGCAGACCAAATATTCTGGATGAAGCCTGTAAAATTTGTTTCTAACATTTCGCTTTATTTATCTGCTGCAGCCAACTGAGAACGACCAGCTGAAGTTTGACAGTCACATACTGCTGCATGAGATGGTGTCCCAGGTAACTTATTATTATTATTACGCTTCTTAAATGTACTTGAAAATGATGATACCAACAGTTACTTTCATTATCACTCTAAACAAATATTTAAATATATTTATGAAATTACTGGTGGCTACTACAGCTTATGTCCAGAACTTTGTTTTCACATTTCTTGTTCAGACTAATGTATTACATTTAATCCTTTTTCAATGAATTGAATCAGAAAAGAAAGCCAATTTACACTATTTATATGTAAACAGTAAACATTTGCTACATTTACATGATAAATAACTAAATGCCTATTTGAGTAATGAAGCAGATAATAATAATTTAATAATAAATTCAGCAGTTGTGTTCCTACAGTAAACTGGTACCAGTTAGTTACACTTGCTGATGTGCGTTTTTACAACCTGATCTCTGGTGTTAATTCAACAATCTCTTATTTTTGCAGGAAATCATTCACTGGAAACTGCTGTTCACCTGGTCTCCTCCAGAGGGAGTTAAAGTGCTGCAGATGGAACAGCTGCCACACTGCCACCGCTGCGAAAAACCTCCAAACACAAACTAAACTGCTGACATCATCATCGTACTGCTATAACAACCAAAACCACATCTTGATGCTCACATCTTGTATTCAGCAAGTACTGCAAGTACTAAGCCAGGATTTGTTGTTGACCTTTGAACTACCGATTTATACTATCAATGATGGAACGCATCATATATAATAATGATGTCCTTACATTGGGCTACTTTTGTAGTACTGTTGTATTTTAGTCAAAATAAACTGTTTATACAGACTATTTCCTCCTTGTGTGTGTGAGAGTCGGGAGATCAGCACTTACGATACAGGACTGGTGATCGTCTCTCTGAAAGCCACTTTGGGTTTTCCCATCACACAGGGACAGTTGTATTCTCTCTCCATCCTCTGAAACAGCAAACCAAAACAAGAAAGGGCAAAAAACAGGTCAGATATTTTAGGCATGACAACATGAGACTGATATATCCATTTAATGTTGTTGTTAAAAAGGTTCAGAGGTCTTGACTCATCTCCAAAAAACACTAATGCTCATTTGGTTTGTGGTGCAGCAACGTCTCATACTTATCAAGTTACAATCTACCACAACATTATTTTTTTCTACACAGAGACAGACACTAACAACCAAGTCATATTTGCAAGTTTTTTGGCACCGAGTAGCTATTATTTACATCTCCAAACCTCCACAAATCAAAACTAACTAGACATAGAGCACCATCATTAAGACACGTCTTGTATTAAACATGCAGGTCATCCACTGACAGGGTACCTGGGAGTAGATTTCAAGATGTAGCTCGCCCATGCCGGAGATAATTGTTTCTTTGCTCTCGGTGTCAAAATGCACCCGAAACGTCGGATCTTCCCTGGTGAAACGGTTAATGCCTTTGGAGAACTTGTCCAGGTCATTCTGGTCAGAAGCAAAGATAATGTCCAGAGAGAAGAGTTAACAGATGCAGTTTAGATTTTTACATGTATGTGTAGATTAAAGTCTTTTTTTTTTTTTACCTTGTTGGCTGGCTTCATTGACATGGAAATGACAGGCTCTGGGATGTGAATAGACTCCTGTGGGACAAACATGATAACAAATGAACACAAGATTCTTGGAGTAAAGAAGGAAAAGAAGAAGAATTTCTTATTTTCTTGCACTTTTACAGGCGAAAACACTGAAGTTACTCACCATGGAGAGGTTAGCGTTGGTCTTGGAGGTAAAAGTGTCTCCACTGGCGCAGTCAATGCCAAAAAGAGCACAAATATCTCCTGCATAGACCTCATCCACATCCTGGAACAGGGTGGATAAAAAGGAATGATGGGAATAAGAGGACAAAGTGTATTCATTTTTAGGAACTGAGTTGATCAAAATGCCTTTTTTTTAATAAATATCAAACTGTTTCATGCGTTCTTTTGATGCAAGAAGGATGGAAACATGTTACTCTGGTGTCACAGGGGATGTGGTTGTTATCTACACACTTGACTGATGCCAAAAGAGGAACATAATAATTTTGGCTGGTCATGTTCCTCTGCTGTTTTAAACAGCAAACCACAGATGGAAAACTGTGACCTCTGACAACTTTCTGACGTGTTCTCACCTCCAGCTGGTCAGCGTGGAGACGCACCAGCCTCTGAACTCTGACTTTCTTGCTCGTGCGTGTGTTGTAGATGTATTCCCCCTTCTTCAAACAGCCCTGGTAAACACGCACATACGTAAGCTGGCCAAACCTCCCTGCCTGTTAATGAGAAAACACAACATGAAACATCAAAAGGATGACAGACTGAGACCACAGAAATAAAAGATAAAGAATGTCATACCTCCAGTTTGAAGGCCAGGCCGACATAGGGGTGTGTAGAGTCTCTTGTAGGATCCATTTGAAGTTTGATTTCATTGCCGTCTCTAACACAGTGACAAACCGGCTAACATTAGCACACAGCATTTCTCATGAAAAAGATTCTGTCAGAAAATATTTGCTGGAGTTTCATCTGTACTCACTCGTTATTGAGTAGAGCATAGTTTTTGACTTCAGTGGGGTTCGGCAGGTAATCCAGGACAGCGTCCAGTAGAGGCTGGACGCCCTTATTCTTCAGTGCTGTGCCCACCAACACTGGACTGAAGAGACGCTGCACTGTGGCCCTGCGGATTGCAGCCTGGAAGACAGCGAGGTGACAAGAGACTGAGTTTAGAGAGGAATTTTAGTTTTCAAGGTCTTGTTTGTTGCCATGTTTTGAAGGAAGACTGGTCAACATTAGATCTCAAAGATGTCTTTTTTAAAAAAAAAAAAAGCTACAGTCCAACATTGGATGGATAGCCATGAAATTTTGTACAGATACTCCTGGTTGCAAGAACATGAATGCTAATGACTTTGACTTTTAGTGATCCTTGTCTTTTCTTCTAGCGTCACCATGAGGTTGACATTTGTGCTTTTGACTGAAATGTCTCCACAACTATTGGATGGATTGCCAACTTTGGTACAGAGTCATGTTCCCCTCAGGATGAACTGTAAGAACTTCTAGCACAAAATACTGCAAAAAATAATGACATTCCCATCAGCATCAGCTGTACTTTGTGTTAAGTGCAAATGTTAGCATGCTAACTTGCTAAACTAAGATGGTAAATATTAGCGTCTTAGCATTATCATTGTTTTGTGTGCATGTTAGCATTTAGCTCAAAGTTATTAACGTTTTTTTTTTGTTACTAAATTTTGTCTTCAATTAATTTTGTCTTCAATTAATTTTGTTTCCAGTTAGTTTCCACAGTGGGTTTAATTGTTTCAGTTTAGTTTTTATTATTTAAAAATGTTTAGTTTAAGCGATACTTTTAGTGTTTTTTATTATAGTATTTGTCAGGGGCAAGATTTAAGAAGTTCCAAATATATATTACAACACAATCACACTGTAAGTACACAATTTATGTATTATTTATTTATATTTCAACATAGTTTTAGTTTTTGCTTTAGTGAACTTTAATAACCTTGAGACACACAAATATGGTTGCAGAGTCGTTAGACTTCTTAACTTGTGATGTCAAGAAAGTTATTTTAAAACTAACGGATGAATCAACAATTAGTCAGAGTTATTGAAGGGAAGTGCTGAGCTTTTTGGAAACACTGAAAGAGACCTTGTTATAATATCCTGAAATCCCTCAGATTTCACACACACACATTATCTCTCTTTGAAGACACAAACCTTCAGATCTTCATTGGTTGGAATCTTTTCCTCCAAGAACATTTCTCCCAGCATTTCATCAGCGTTGGCTACACACTCCACCAGTTCCTGCCTCCGGTCTTCAGCCTCAGCACGGAAATCTGCCGGGATCTCATCATAGCGGATAGTTTGACTGCAGAGAGGAAGAAACTGTTTGAATCGGCTTCGTGTTGTTCAGGAACAGAATCTCAGAAGTTGTGAAACAGGGATGTGAATTAACACTTATACTGTAGCCTAGCTGTCTTTATTCTTTATTTATGGTAAAACCAAACTATTCTTGCTACTAAAGAATCGGCAAAATAAACAAGAGGTGATTAAAAAAATTACTGTGCAGATAAAAATAACTACACTTAACTACACAAAAACTGATCTATTCAGGGCCAACTACCGGGGGGGTAAATCCCTCACCCAAAAGGTCCTTCGAAATACATGCTCCGCTCCTCCACAAGGTCTATGATGCCGCGCATGTTCCCCTCCAGGCCGATGGGGATGCTCACAAAGGCTGCGTTGTGGTTCAGTTTGGTTCTGGAAAAGACAAAGACAAAAGTGTTATGTGTGAACAAAAATACAGGAAGGACACAGCTAATTACAACATTGTTTGTGGACCGATGATTTCCTGTAAACCAGCCTGTGAACGTGGCCTGTTGACTGTTTTTACCATTAGATAACACAGCTGTATGAGTGTGAATGTGTATTGTTTGGTTTATTTAAAACTAATAAATTAGCAACAGTTCAAAAACGGCAAACTGAAAGCTTAAAGAAGATACAGTTAAACAGACATGCAAATAGAGCCTGGAAATATATTGATATTATTCTCCATATATTACAATCTGATCAGGGATTAAGGTTAAGTATATTTTCTCCTGGTTTTATAAACTGTATTATAAGTTTACAAAACCTCTGACTGTTTGTTTGATAATAAAATATAATCTAAAAGCACTAACAATCACACATAATATATTGTCACATTATCACTACTAAGGTATCGAGTGTAAAATATCACCACCCACCTCATCTGCTGCAGGGCTCGGCTGGGGTTGGCGCCCATGCGGTCCAGCTTGTTGATGAAGGTGAGGAAGGGGACGTTGTAGCGTTTCATCTGCCTGTTCACAGTCATGGTCTGACACTGGACTCCTCCCACCGCACACAGAACCAGCACGGCACCGTCCAGCACGCGCAGCGCTCGTTCCACTTCGATGGTAAAGTCCACGTGACCTGGAGGAACAACAGGGACAGTGTAAACATTAAATAATAATAAAATAAAGTGATGCTTTTGGAGCTTGGGGGTCAAAATTCATCATTTTAACCTCCTGTTCTTTCACTTTCTGTAGCACTGAAGTGTTTTTGTGGGCATTATTAGACACTAAAGAGTAAGATGGGGTCAAACCGGGGCAGATTTACATAGACAGCAACACCAGGATTGCACATTCATTACATGGCTTCCCCTTAAAACTTGGACCCTGAAATTAAATGTGTGTGAAATGTGCATTTATTTTAGTTTTGCACTACATTTTGTAGCTTCTTCTTTATGATTTTGAAGAATAACATTGCTGCTTTATTGACTCATAGTACATATTAAGCAATGTCTGTTTTTCCTGGAAATATTTGAAATGAGCAACTTTTTTTTAGTTTTTCCTCTTAAACTGAGTACTATTATTAGAACGCTTAGACCACAACGGCAAAGTTTCTAAACAAATAACCATGAGTCGATCTGTTGATGAACACCACACCACTTTCTTGCATCAGACTCTAACATGAAAGTCTACATTATCAAGTTTCTGTGGCAAAATACACCGTGTGATGTGTGTGTATCACTGAAGCACATTATAATGAAGATGGTACTAAAAGGGGCACTCCGATAATTAAGACACGATCAGTTTACTCATCAAAGTTACAACAGTTTGTGACGTCTTTTATGGCTCAGGAGGGAGATTCTTAAAGTCTGATAAATTAATCTTATTAAAGGTCATTATCCAGGTTAAGAGAAGACAAACAAACAAGTACCAGACAGTCTGCGTTATAAACTGAGAGGATGTGGTTTAAAGGACGTGGGTATTCACCATTGACAGTATATATATATATATAGATACTCTTATTCACCAGGTAGGTAGGCTCTAATAAATAGACAATAACAAGCTGCATCATGGGAAATGTAGTATCAAATGCTTTTGGAGTTTAACCAACTATAGTGACTAAACATGAGGGTATATGTATATGTAAATATGCACTATTACATATGTGTGTACCTACCTGAGTTACCATAAATAAGAGGGTTAAAACCAACTTTCAGTACCTGGTGTGTCAATAATGTTGATGTTGTGGTTCTTCCACACAGTGTATGTGGCAGCGGACTGGATGGTGATGCCTCTCTGTCTCTCCAGCTCCATAGAGTCCATCGTGGCTCCAACACCGTCCTTCCCCTTCACCTGCACAGGGGGAGAACAGATCGTGGGTGTGGCTCAACACCCTTTAGTGCTTTACCTTTACCATATTCACTGTGCAATCTATTGCCCATGTGCAACTGCTGCTACTATTTGTGTTATCTGTTGTTGTGGATTCTTACTGTTTTTTCTCTTGTACATAGTGTTTATATTATTTTCTTTTATTTCCCTACT